TCTTTTCTGCTTTGACTTCAGATCAAACTAAAGCGAGTTCAAACCTCCTCACTAGTCTTTGTTCTTTGTTGGTTTAGGTACATCTCTGTGAAGCAGAGGGAATGCAGGAGTTTATAAATGAAGAGTATTTGTTTGACGTCCCAGAGGGCCAGCCGGTGTTGGTGGCGGTGAAGATGCTCCGCTCAGATGCCGACAAGAATGCAAGGTGCACAGCTGGAAATTTATAAACAAAAAACAAATCTACGGTTATTATTCATCTGACTTATTGGAACATAAACTTAATCAACTTGTGCAAACTGTTACACATCAACAGGAATGATTTTCTGAAAGAGATAAAGATAATGTCACGTCTGAAGGACCCCAACATCATTCGTCTGCTGGCTGTGTGCATCTACAGCGACCCTCTCTGTATGATCACAGAGTACATGGAAAATGGAGATCTCAACCAGTTTCTGTCCCGCCATGAACCCGAGGGACAACTTGCTCTCCTCAGCAATGCACCAACTGTTAGGTAAGCTAGTTTCCTTTGCATCTCTTTCGTAGCGTTGCCTTCCCACCAAAAGTTAATGTCTCTCGTTGCCCTCCAGCTTCAGTGATCTGTGCCACATGGCCACCCAGATAGCCTCGGGGATGAAATACCTTTCCTCCCTGAACTTTGTTCACCGAGACCTGGCTACAAGAAACTGTTTGGTGGGAAAAAACTACACGATAAAGATAGCTGACTTTGGCATGAGCAGAAACTTGTACAGCGGCGATTACTACCGGATCCAGGGCAGAGCAGTGCTGCCCATACGCTGGATGTCATGGGAGAGCATTCTGCTGGTGAACCATCACTTTTTACTTGTCACATATACAAACCTGCATTGTATTTATTCACTTTTTATTTAAAAAACAAAACAAAAAACTCCAAAAAGTTGGATATCCAGCTAGCTACAATGCAGTACCTGTGTTTGTGCAGGGTAAGTTCACCACAGCAAGTGACGTGTGGGCCTACGCCGTGACTCTGTGGGAGATCCTGAACTTCTGCAAGGAGCAGCCGTACTCCCAGCTCACTGATGAGCAGGTGATAGAAAACACAGGGGAGTTTTTCAGGGACCAGAAACGGCAGGTGAGAAATTAACAAATGGATTCGATTTTACTAATAAAAACAGTTCAGTTGTAGATTTCATTGCTTGCTCTTGATCTCCCAGATCTACTTGCCTCAACCTGTACTGTGTCCGGACTCACTCTACAAGATCATGCTGAACTGCTGGAGGAGGAACGCTAAGGAGCGGCCCTCTTTCCAGGAAATACACAGAGCCCTGTTGGATCTACAGCCTTCAGCCTGAGTGGTGTTTGAGACCCTCCTTCAGAGTCTTCACATGTGATGGCGCAGACACAGTCCAGGTTTAAGCTAGTTCATATTCAACAGAAAAACATGATGGGAGGCCTCCTGCTGGTTCTAAGCTACATTTTGGGAACTAAATGCACTCTAAAGATTGATCTGTATTCCAGTTTACGTAAAGGTTCTGTATTGAGCATAACTTTGGACAAAGTACTTTATCGTCATTTAAAAAGAGGCCTGAACTGTGGTGCATGTGTGGAGAAAGCCAATATTAAAATGTAGCAGGAGACATTTGGCACTTTTGAAACTAAACTTACTAAAGTAAGAACGTTTGTGTTTGGTCTTTGTTTTCTTTTATTGTAGCAATGTTCTCGGCAGTAAATCTCATACTGTCAGGAAGTTTGTTTGTTTTTTCTCCTACAGTGGTGCCACATCTGTAAGAAAACATGTTTTTTTTCTTTTTTTTCATAGATATGTTTATTATTTTTTGTTAAATAACAACAAAATAACATAGAAAACAAGCTCAGCAGTGCAGTGCAGAAAGGATAAGATAGGGGGCATACATATTTCCATCATTATAGAGTCAAAATCTAAGCATTAATAAACACTCTAGACAGGATAGTAGACATGTGATCCTTCGGAATAGTCCAGGAAGGGCTTCCATATCTGCCAAAAGTGTCAGTCTTAGAGTGGACAAGGGATGTTAGAAAGTCAAGAAGGATATATTCCAAAATAAGCTTCTTCCACCCAAAAATAGTAGGAGATTTATTAGAAATCCATCGTAAAAAAATATTCTTTCGAGCACAAAAAATTTGGACATTGTACAATTTGCTCTTATTTTGATTTTGGATATGTTTGTTTGATAGAACAAGGAGAAGAGATACTGGATCGAGATCAATATAGGTTTTAATAATTTTCCTAGCGTCCATCAGAATAGATTCCCAGTATAATTGGATGTTAGGTCGTTATCCAGTAGGTGACATCAAAGCTGTTTAGAGAGGTTTTCATAGTCCAAACCATAAGTGTTTTTAGCCTATTTTTGGGGGTGCTGATGCAACCCTAATTTGAATCAAAACACTCCTAAAATATTTTAGTTTTTAGTTTTTTTTTTTTAAATAATGTATGCTCTTTTTACAAAAAAAACAAAAACAAAACAAAGAATGGCAATGTAAAAACTAGCATTGGTTATTTAACCCCTTCAATTATGTTCTGGTTCATCAGAAATGATAAACAAAAAACAAGTAAACAAGCCTGATGGAGCTCCTTAACTAAAATGTTGAGCAACTCTTTGAGGAAAACGCTGCATTCAGGTGTTTATGAAATGCTTAGTCAGATTTCTGCACCTATTGATGGTGTGTTGGTGAAATGTTCACCAGTGAGGTGCTCTATTATGTCTGAGACTGCTTTGTTTGATTATCTTTAAAACCACAACTCAATATCAATATTTAAATTTACTGAATCATCGTTAAATCGTTATCATTTTTTTCTGTTTGTAGTTATTTGAATGTATAATCCATTCTCTGATTGCCAGTCTAAAGAGGGAGAGGTGTGAGGGGAGCAGAGGAGCAAGGTGTGTGCAAAGTGAAAGGTCGGGAAAATCAGACAGAATAGCAGCAGCTGTTAAACTGGCAAAGAAAAATTCAGTCGATTATTTTACATTTTTCATGGCAGTAATTTTGGCACAAAAGAGAAAACTAATTTCATTAAAACTGATTCAAAGGATTCCATGAAATTAGGTAATTTAAAAGCTTTAATTGGTTGGAATATTCTTTTAAAAAATATAGCTTTTTGCTTTGCCTGTTAGGTTTTTGGCGCACGTCTCAGATGCGATGCATTATTGAATGATGGAGTTCGGTCATTAGAAAAATGCACTGAACAAGATTCAAAATTTGTGTAGAAAACAGTGAAATGAATCATGTCTGGCCAGACAGCTCTCTGGGGGCTCAGCACCCCTAAACCTCTGGTTCCTAGAACCGTCCCTGATGACCAAACCAAACAATTTGCTGCTCAAACCATGAATGCATCATCTTTACAAATGTGGCACCGATTGGAGGAAAATCAACATTCTAAGATTTGCCAGCTAGAAGCATTTTTACAATAAAGAAAATATTTACCAGACAGAAATGTCCTTACTGTTGTTTATGTGTACAAGCAATGTGGTTTAGATAATCCATTTTACAGCGTTTGAAATTCTGTTTTCTTTTCTTTTTTTGTTTTTTGGAAGACTGCTTGAATGTAGAGGGGAAAGTGCAGAGCCATTAGATGTGTTCATATTTCACTAGTTTTATTGAATGTTCCAAGAAACTTCATTCATTGAGTAGAAATAAAAATAAATGCAGTTTTTTTTTTCTTTTTTTACATCTCCCTGCCATTTTCCAGCAGAAGTTTCAACATGAAGTGTATATGTGTGTATTTTCAATAGATATGTTTTAAATTTTCATTTATCAAATGTACCTATATTTATATATTTTACTTGTGTTTGTTCTGTTTATGTTTTTATAGATATGTTTTAGGATATGCACTTAAATCGAGGGTCATGTTTGATTTATTCCAGCCTTTCTTCTCTGATTTTTGCATCTTTTACTTTCTGTTATTTTGTGAAGTTTTCAGCAACCTGAAGCAAACAACATCGATTTATTGCAGCTGATCGAACTTGAAGGAAACTGGTTGGGAATGGAGGGTGGATTAACGTCATGTGCTGTGTTGGTTCAGAGGCATGACGCCAGCAGGTGTGGTTAGAAACCGGTCAGTGATCTGAAGAGCTTCCCTTCCTACAGTCGGGAAAAGTTGGAAGTTTGCTCTGTTTCCCAGTCTGTCTGTAGGTAGGAATAAAGTTTTTGAGGAGGATGGAAACATGGATTTATTTCCATCCATTCCTGATCTGCACAGCGATATGTGATGTATATTTAAGGTAAACGTTTGTCGCAACACCAGAGAAATGGGTCACGAATGAGGCAAGTTTGGAAAAGCATGGAATCTGGTCATGGAAAATGTGCAAGAAATCTGGTTCGAGATGTTTCTCTTTCTAGTTGTCATGGAAGCAGGTACAATTAGGACTTTTGCCATGATAATGCATTTTCTTGGATAACTGGAAAAGCTGATGAAGATCAATTTTAATTAGTTTAAAATAGTTAATCAATGTTCTAATTTAGAGCTCATCTTTTACTGGTGCATCTAGAATTCATGCAGCCTTTTTCTAAAGTTTTTAAATGTACTCTTTGTCTTAACTATTTATCATCTTCATTTCAAACTGTGCTTCTTTTTCTACTTATCAGGACCAAAACATTAAAGATACTCAGCTCAGGTTTATATTGAGAAACATGTTAGCGAGCTTCATCTTTAAATACATTTTATCGAGTCCATTCTAATTTTGGTTTAGTAACAAATGAAAAGAAATGTAAAAAGGTCTAAATAAATCCTAGTGTTTTTATTTTTGGCATATTTTTGTATTGAAATGTCTGCATTTTCATGAGATTTGTTTTATATATAGGTTGTAACCAAAAGTTACGCTGCAATGAAGAAAACCCAAATAAAAGTCTACGTAGGAATCCTCACCATGATCAGGATTTTTTTCTTTCTTTCTGGGATCTAGTAAATATTTCACAGAGGGCGGAGCCTTTCAGGCTGAGCTGAGCGGTATTAAGATCCTATTGGCTGGATTGTTGTGACGCTCTCCAAACAGAACAAGGAGGTGAGGCTGAACAATGACACCACAGAGAAGGAAACCAGTTCCTGAACCAGACTCACGACTTTTCCCCCAGTGTCGCCACTGTGTTTCAACTTTAGGTTTGATCAAGATGAGAAAGGTGGTTTTGGTGACAGGAGCTAACAGGTAACAACTAAACTTATATCTACTACTGCTTCAATCAATGCTCACATCTGAAAATCAAAGAAATAATCTGTCTGCAGACTGGTACTGAAACAAAGGCCAATTATTTTAGGCTCAATAATAAATAATATTTTCCATTAAAGTAAATTTTTTAGGTCAGAATCTTAACTTCAGATCCAAAAACTTTTGCATGGGTTTACACTAAGTTTGATAGGCTGAGCACTTGCCTGTCTTTAAGAACCAACAGACTGAACATATTTATTTGAAACCTTTTGCCATGCATGTTCATTAATTATAGAAAACAGGAGCAGAGGCGATGCAACACTGGGTATGTGTCAGTTGTCATGGTGACGCAGATTCCCTATACTATAAACCAAAGACTATATCAGTAAAAATGTACATCTTAGACAGTCTTTATCATATGTTAGTAATTAGAATTAAAAATTTATAGCATGCATTTTCTAAAGAACTCTAAACTCTCCAACATCTTCAAAGCCAACACAATCCGTAAACAGTTAGAGATTAACAGTGCAAAAAATAAAATAAGAGAACTTTTCCTTTTTTAGCCTTTGTGGTAGGGGTGTGCAAAATAATCGTCATGATGATGCATCGTGATTCTAATTTTCGTGATCTACTGCATCGATTCTTGATGCCAAGTATCGATTATTAATTAAAAAAAAATGAATAAATAAAATTGCATGAATGGTTGGCGAACATCAGCCAAAAACAAGTGTAATACAACTTCCAGTCCAGTAGATGTCGCTGCGGATGTGTTGACGCATGCTGCCTTGTGTCACAAGCATTTCCGGCCGCGGGATACTGCGCCGAGTCATTAAAAAACAAAACATGGAGGACAAAATATTGCAATGCATCGCAATAATTCAAGTATCGTGATACATCGTGATAGAATCGCATCGTGGCCTGTGAATCGTGATTTGAATCGAATCGTAACTTCTTTGGCAATACCCACCCCTACTTTGTGGTATCTTCTGAATTACACCAGGACCATTTGCTCTTTCGACCTTTCACAGCTCCAGAGTCACACATGCAATCAAAAGAGTTGCTGTTGTACACAATGGAGAAGCAGCAAAATGAGCAGCACCTGCTGAGGTCTAACTCTGTTGTAGTTTCCTGAATGCACCACAGACAAGTTTTAGATAATACTTAAAGGGAAAAAATATTTTTAGCTTCTATGCATCCTCTAACTTCTTTTTAATGCATCACTGATACTTCAAAAGTCTAAGTTTGTTCTTTTTAAATCAGTAAAAAAATATTTATGGTTAATTAGAGCTGTTAGGACTTAGGCCGGCATGGTGCTTTCAGCTTTCTGTGGAATATTGGATATTTGTGTTATTGGCAAGTCGATCCACTATTTGATTTTTATACATACAGCAATAAATAGAAAAAAATTCTAGTGTAATCAAATTTTACCATGAATTCGGTAAGTTTTAAAATATTTCATTGTATAGCTGCATTATTAAAACAATCTGTCTCCCTGCAGTGGTATCGGGCTGGCTCTGTGTCAGCGTCTCCTTTCATTGCACGCAGAGAGTCTCCATCTCTGTCTGGCCTGCAGGAACATGCAGCGAGCTCAGGCCGCACGCTCTGACCTCCTCGCCTCTCACCCCGCAGCCAACGTCGACCTGCTGCAGATGGACACTAGCAGCATTTCCTCGGTTCTCATTGCTGCAAAGGAAGTCAAAGCCAGGTGGGAGGATGGAAAAACCACACTGATGCAGTTTCAACAAAACAAAAAGCTGTTTACCTTTAGAGGATATTATTTTTCTGTCATTTTCAGGTATGATCATCTGGACTACCTCTACCTTAATGCGGGATTCATGCCTAACCCAACATTTGATGTAAAGGCCTTTTTTAAAGGCCTCTTTTCAAGGTACATTCCTAAAGACTTACAGTCACCTACTGATTTGTTTCCAACCATGATAAAGATGTGGAAAAAGCATTAAAATTAAAATCAAAGAAACAAATAATGTAGCGCTATTTAAAAATTAGATTTGTCTTTTAAAAAATATTAATTTTTTGACCAACATCAAACATGTGCTTACAGCAATGTCGTCACCATGTTTGCCACCGGGGAGGGGATTCTGACTCAGACAGATGGTGTCACTCCTGATGGTTTGCAGCAAGTTTTTGTCACCAACCTCTTTGGTCACTTCCTTCTTGTAAGCAGGGGTTTTAGACCTATAAATAGTCAGCAACTGTTTGTTTGTTTCCAGTAACCCCCCCGCCCCCCGTGTATCTGCAGGCAGGATTGTTCTAGTCGGCTTGTGTGTCCTTGATGAGAAAAATAAAACTGATACTGAATCCATCTGTCACTTAGCAACTGTCCTCATTAAAAATTAACATCACACTGAGAGCTTAAGGTCACCGCAGACATTATTCAACTCAATTTGATTTTGCAGGGGAATTTATGTTTGTGTACGGCTGCAATCCAAGTTTCCTGGCTATATGGAGTATGATCTATGTTATCGCTGTAGTTTAACAATTGAAACTGATTCATTTATGGAGCAAAAAAATAGTTTTTCTTTAATGTCATGCCTTTTAATGTCTATTTGGAATAATTTTCAAAAAAATTTAGCAAAATGATTATGAGAGTTTTTCCTATTTATACATTAAAGCATATATAACCCAAACATTTTTCTAATGTTCATTCAACTCCAAAGAGTAAACCAAAATCATTTCCTTTTGACTGATTCCAAAAAAGATTTTTACGTCTTAGTTTGGACGCATTAAAGCGACGCTAAAATCCTTAGTTTTTACCACTTTATGCCACTTTCTACTCAGAGCTGATCAAAGGGAAATGAGTGGGTTCTTATATTTGGGTGTGCATTCTGCATATTGACTTTTTGTTTTGACCCAGGTTAGGGAATTGGAGCCGGTTCTGTACCACCCAAACCGGACCTCTCGGCTGGTTTGGACCTCCTCTAGTAACGCTCACCGTTCTGCCTTTAACCTTGAGGACATACAGCACCAGAAAGGCACTCAGCCTTACAGCTCCTCCAAATATGCGACGGATCTGCTCAGCTTGGCTCTCAATCAACACTACAACAAACAGGTCAACTCTCAGGACAAAAAACATATGTTTGTGTTTTTCCATTTACTGCTAATAAAATGCAATCACGTATTTCTAATGTTAGGGCTTATACTCATCTGTCATCTGTCCTGGTTTTGTGATGACCAATCTGACCTACGGCATCCTACCATCGTTCCCGGCCTTTCTGTGGACGCTGCTCATGCCCGTATTCTGGTTGGTAGGTTCGCTGGTTCTGCTTCATGGAGTATGAGGACAACAATGCTTTTATCCTCAGTAAAAACAAACATTTCTTTTTCCCTCCACTAGATACGAGCCTTCACCAACACTTTTACTCTCACGCCTTATAATGGATCTGAAGCTCTGGTGGGTAAGAACAGGTTCTTATCCTCAGAAACAGATTTTTAAATATTCAAACTGCTTTCTCTGTCTTTTTTGGCAGTTTTGGCTATTTAGGCAAAAGCCTGAGTCTCTGGACCCATTTGCTAAATATCACAGCTTAACATCGGTGCTCGGAAACAACTACACACAACCACAGAAGGTGAAGCAATTATCTGTAAATGTTCTTTAAATCTACAGACACAGCTGATCTGTTTTTAATATATGTCTAATAATCTGTAAAAAAAAAAAACTTACATCTTTTTAATCTTTTCCAATTCGCAGATGGATATTACTTTGGAAACATCAGAGTCCTTATATATGAAATTACTTCAACTTGAACGTAAGATGAGGGATAAACTGTCAGAGAATGAAAATTCCACCTGCTGATCCCTTCAGAGGAGCTGAAGAAGCTAAATGATACATCTTCCACACCGAAGGAAAAATTAAGCTATTTTTCTCAAGCAGCTTGCAGAAGAATTCATAACCTGTTAACCAATATGCAACCAAAAACTTTACTAGATTTATATTGGGATTTAATGTGTTAGACCAGCAAAACTGAATGATTATCGAACAAACAAACATTTTAAAAGTGTGAATTGCATTTGCATACGGCAACGTTTACTTTGCTGTAATTTGATTACATTCTTTATCAGCATTCTACAGCGAGAGACAACTACATATCCGAGCTCTATTTATCCCAAGATCAGCCATACTGGATAAGAAAAGATAACCTTTCCAGCCCTTGCTTAAAAAAGATAACCACAGCATGATGCTGCCACCACCTTGCTCATGGGACAGATGTGGCTATACAGCTGGAGTTTGTTCCTTCCCAGAGCAGCTTTATTTTGACTGATTAAAGGACACAGGCTGGACTCATTATTCTGACATCTGTAGGCAATGAATTGCTGGTGATTCTATCAGTGGGCAGCAGTAGGGGCGGTTCTAGACGAAATTTACCAGGGGGGCAGAGAGGGGCCCGTGGTTCCGCATGGGGGACAGAGCAAAGAGTAATGCAAAAAAAATATTAAAATAAAAAAGTGATCTAAAAAAAAGAAAGAAAGTGAAAATGTTCTTTAAAAAAGTGCATTCATCTGCCAAAGGAGAAAGTATTATTAATTACTCATTTTACACATAAATCATCTTAGTCCATCTACAAATTGTCTTTTGTCCTTGAAGGTATAGTGAAGGATTTTTCGCAAATATTTGACACTTTAAAGGAATAGTACACCCAAAACATGATTAGCCTTCATTTTCTACTCACCCCCATGCTGAACAACACTCTGGAGTACTTTTTTGATATCTCAAATGCATCTGGAGATCTGGGAGGCTTCTTGCTGACATTCAAATAATGGAGGTCTATGGTGTCCGAGACAGAAAGGTCCATAAAAGTCCACAAAAAACGTGTCAATATTCCTCCATACTGCTCGTCCAATGTATTCCAAGTGTCCTGAGTGGGTAGCATCCAGAATTTACTCGAAACGAAGTCATTTAGAATGTTTTTAGAGCATAAACAGTAGTGTATAGGATTTCCTAAAAGCGCGTTCACGAGTCTACGGAAACTGCGGCAGACCAAACCAGATGAAAGTGCGCATTCAGCTCGGCAAAGAACTTATGCTCTTCCTCAACACTGAAGTCCTGCATTTTTCTTTCGTTGTTTCTTTCTTTGCACAGGTAAACAGCACATTTCTTCTTCTACGCTTGCATTATTGGCAGAGCAGACGCTGAATGCGCACTTTCATCTGGTTTGGTCTGCCGCGGTTTCCGTAGACTCGTGAACGAGCTTTTAGGAAATCCTATACACTACTGTTTATGCTCTAAAAACATTCTAAATGACTTTGTTTCGAGTAAATTATGGACGCTACCCACTCAGGACACTTGGAATACATTGGACGAGCAGTATGGAGGAATATTGAAACGTTTTTTGTCGACTTTTATGGACCTTTCTGCCTCGGGCGCCATAGACCTCCATTATTTGAATGTCAGCAGACAGCAAGAAGCCTCCCAGATCTCCAGATGCATTTGAGATATCAGAAAAGTACTCCAGAGTGTTGTTCAGCATGGGGGTGAGTAGAAAATGAAGGCTAATCATGTTTTGGGTGTACTATTCCTTTAACAAAAAAACATGCACATGCACCTCCCTGTATCCGCTCCCGAGAGGGAATGCCTATTAAACGCCTGGGAGCCAATTTCTCCTCGTGCAAACTCTGTTTAAAAGTTGCTGTCACTCATCGCTTATACAAGCTTACTTTCCAAAAGAATATTTGCAATTTTTCCACTATGTCAGACTCACCACAGGGAAGTGAAAATGGGAACGATCACATAGGATGGTCTTACGTAAAAAAAATCACAGGCATGATTGACAATTAGGAGGACCACTTATTGAGATGATCCACCCAGAAAAACAACATCCTTCACCATAAGGGAGAATACAATTTTCCTATTAATGCACTGCTTGCCAACAGCAAAAAAATCTAGAGGTTGGTTCCTGTCTAGACCCATGGACAATAGAGTAAATGGAGGCAAATACAAACGCATGACACTGTTCAAAAACTATAGGGGTAAAAGCTTCTAACCTTGCTCTACAAGCTGGGTTGTCCCGAGATCTGAGTTTTCAGTCTCTCAGCAGATAACATAGAACTCAACTCAGTTCTAGACATATCAATCTGGCTACTACCAGGTTAGGTTTACACAACAAAAAATAAATAAAAATAGTTTAATAAAAAGGAAGTTGTTTTTCTGGTGCATTAAATCCCTCATCATTTAGAGATTGGTATCTGAATTTCCACCAGAATAGGCTTAAATATTATCAGATTAAAAGCTAATTTGATTTCATTCAGGTATGAGGTGATGGTGAAACAGAGCCAAGCATTGTACAACAAAAGGTACAAAACATGCAATAGGCCTTCATCCCCTGAGTGAATTTTGTACATTTATAAAAAAAAAAAAAAAGATAAAATATTACCGGTTTTAAGTGGTTATCCATGATTCACATCATTCATGCAATCCAGGAGGAATTGTCTGAAATCTGGTTATTAATCCCCAAATCACTGAGACAAAAGGCAGCGCTGTTCGACAGCAGACAGTCATCATCGTCATCATCTTCATCCCAGAAGTTCATATATGTGCTCTGGCTGAGCGTCTCTACGATGCACGGCGCTGCAGGCGCATGCAGAGCGGCGGCGCACCTGAAATCCCGCGGTGGAGAAGTTGGCGCGCGCATCCAGCGGTGCTCCGCGCGCTCCTCACTTTGGTTTCCAGAGCCGCACTCTTCCTCAGTTCCGCTCTCTTTCGGGTTGGAAAAAGCCCAAACCATTCCACAGAAGTAGATGAAAAATGTCCCCATAACCATGACCATCAGCGCATAGGACTCTATCATAGCTTTGGTGACTGAAGGCGTCATTTTCCTGTGAGGAGAGCCGCAGAACTAGAGAAGGTGGTGGTTAGAAGCGACTCTTAGTGCATCATGCTGACCATGGTTTCAGGGGGGATGGGCTTCTGATAAGCAAGAGAAAAAAAAAACGCTAAAGCAAGCTTTCAAATAATAAAATAATGGTTATTTATTGCCCTGAGAATATAATCTGAACGTTTCTGTACTGCAGATAAATGTTTTAATTAGACTAGGCTACATTTCTTAAATATGAAGACGTTCATTATTTCACTGCGGAAGAGGATTAGGGCCACTGGGAAAAACAGTTAACTGATTTTTAAATTTTATTTCAGTTTACTATGGTGGGAAAAAGTCAGAATTCTGACTTTTTTTTATTGTCAGAATTCTGAGATTAAAGTCAGAATTCTGACTTTTTTCCCCATACTAAACTGAAATAAAATTTAAAAATCAGTTAACTGATCCTCTTCCATAGAGGTGAATTAATTTGACACAAAGAACAGCTCATTTTAGCCACATTGGAAAGACCTATAAGATCTTCATCTACATAAGTCGGTAAATGATAACATTGATAAGCTTCTTGCCTCAATAAAACCAACACAGCTGCCTATAAGAGAAAATAGTCATAGGTTTAAAAATAAAAAGTGTATAAAGTATCACTTGCATTTGCATTTTGAATTTTAAACGAACATTTTTCAAAATCAAAAAGCATAATGGTATCCAAGCAATATTAAACCCTTCTGGTGTATTTAAATTACATCTTTCATTTATAACACACAATAGATAATAAACACTAGCTTTGTTTTATTTGTTTAGATCAGTGTTTTTCAACCCTGGCCCTCAAGGCACACTGCCCTGCATGTTTTAGATGTTTCTCAGCTTCCACAGATTTGTTACCAATTGATAGCAGATTATCAGGCTTTGCTGAACTGCAATCATCTGAATCAGGTGTGCTGAAGCTCAGAAACATCCAAAACATGCAGAGCAGTGTGCCTTGAGAACCAGGGTTGAAAAACACTGTATGACAAAGGTTTTTAATCTTAAATGCAAAATGCATGTAATTTTGGCTTAATTACCTTTCTGAAGGGAATGTTCTCTCAGCAAAATTGGTAAAATAGGTAAAACAGAATTATTTAGACTATTAATTAAAAACAATTAATTGGATTATTTCAGCAATAGACTTTGACGCAGGAAGACAACCAGTTGTTTAGAAGTTATCTCAGAAAAAAAAATCTGTCTTGTAGCATCATAATAAAAGGTGTGGAGTTTGTTTGGGGGACTTTAACTGGAATTAAATGCCTTATTCAGACACATAATTTGATGGAAATGAAAATTATCAACCTACAGAGGGCTGCATTCAAAGACACCCCAAAAATTACAGTGAAAAAATGATGCGGCAGGCTAGTCCACTTTGCTGAAATTTCATTGCAGCAACTCAAAATGGTATTCAGTCATTTGTATGGCCTCCATGTGCGTGTATGCATGCCTGACAACGTCGGGGCATGCTCCTAATGAGACGACAGATATCACCATCCTGGTGTATCTCCTCCCAGATCTGGAGCAGGGCATCACTGAGCTCCTGGACGGTATGAGGTTGCGTCCCCAAGGTGCTCTATTGGATTTAGGTCAGGTGAGTGTGGGAGCCAATCAATGGTATCAATTCCTTCATCCTCCAGGAACTGCCTGCATACTGTCGCCACATGAGGCCGGGCATTCTCATTCACCAGGAGGAACCCAGGACCCACTGCACCAGCATAGGGTCTGACAATGCATGCAAGGATTTCATCCCGATACCTAATGGCAGTCAGGGTGTCGTTGTCTAGCCTGTATAGGTCTGTGCGTCCCTCCATGGATATGCCTCCCCAGACCATCACTGACCCACCACCAAACCGGTCATGCTGAATGATGTTACAGGCAGCATAACGTTCTCCACGGCTTCTCCAGACCATTTCACGTCTCTCAAATGTGCTCAGGGTGAACCTGCTCTCATCTGTGAAAAGCACAGGGTGCCATCCTGGAGGTGTTGGACTGCCTGTGCAACCTCTGTAGGATCCAGGTAGAGCCTCATGCTAACAGTAGTAACAGTGACCCTAGCCAAATGCAAAACTGGTGAAAAGGAGTCAGAAAAGATGAGGAGGGGAAAAAATGTCAGGGGCCTCCAACAGTAAAACCATTCCAGTTTTGATGGCTGTCTCGTTGTTGCCCCTCTAGTGCACCTGTTGTTAGTTTCATTAACACCCAAGCAGCTGCTGCTTACTTGACCAAATCAATATCCCAGAAGTTTAAGTAACTTGACTCTGATTATAAAGTATTCCTTTAATTTTTTGAATAGTGTATAAAGGCTTGGAATCCTGTAGCATCATGAACACAACACAATTTAAAAACAACAGCTTCACCCCTACATGAAACAAATAATCTTTCATTACTGGGTCATTTTGAGACACAAATATAAACAAATCAACACATAACCAGTGTTGGGCACGTTACTTTGAAAAAGTAATTAGTTATATTTACTAGTTACTTCTCCCAAAATGTAACTGAGTTACTGAGTTACTCCACAATAAAAGTAACTAGTTATTAGTAAAAGTAACTATTGCGTTACTTTTGCGTTTCTCGCCGCCGTGACCCTCACCACCCGGCACCCAAAAACTCGCTGTGCGTTCCTAA